TTTTTTCAGATGATTACTCTCAGGTACTCCTAGTTCAATGCCACCAGAGGAAGAAGAAACCACTGAAGCCTTTATAATGCTCTCTTGGGTACCAGATACCTTAAAAGGCAGCACGGAAGAAGCATCCCCTAGTGGGGCCCGTGTCATGGTGGATATTTGTTGCAAGAGAGGCAAGGGTTTCAACTTTCGTTTGGCACCCCAGAATTTAAAGTCATAATGCCTGTCCCCTTTGACTGTTGATCACATCTGGGTTTCATTTACCCTAGTAGAAGGAGAAACTTTTCATGTGGGGATTAACAGGAATGGAGACGGCTAAGAGCAAAGCTTTACCGACTTGAAGACTCAGTGAATCCTGCAACTTTGGTCTGTTTCGCATGGACTTTGAGACCAGTTTTAGGACCAGACCAGGTGTCGTTCCCTAGAAAACAGTCTGTCAGTTGGTATTGTTCCTCCCTACCCATCTCTGCCATATTTCAGTGTGTTAACCCCACCTGGATTTGGAGACAGGTTTGTTCAAGGATCTTTCAGACCTGTGAGCCCAGAGTGGAACTTCAGAGGCAAGGCTCTTTCTTCTTGTGAGGAGCTTTGCTTGGGGCACAGAGAAGGCCTGTTGGATCAGGACCACTGGAACATTCTCCTCTTGAAAGGAAGTGCCAGGTTGAACATTTAAGACTTTGCTCTGGGTCCAGCTGTTCATTCACCAGCAAGTCAGCACCCCAGACTTCTTTAAATCTATAAAATGGGACCAGCCTAATATGCCTACCTCAAATGAGGACAGAATGAACTCCATGTGCAACTCAGAGCTATAAGATGCTGTCAATACTTCAAGTACTTGTTATTTATATCTTTGAAAATGTTAGAGTTGAGGTGCCTTTGCTTCCACCTACCCCACCTCTGCCCCATCCAACTTCCAGCTAGAGCTTCACATCCTCAATCACTGACTGGGCCCCAGCTCCAGATATCTTTTCTGGTCTGCCCTGATCTTCTGAGCTGAGAAACTGAGAGCCTCAAGAGCCAGAAGAAACATTCCAAATTTCTACTCATTTTCCCTAAGACCCAGAGCAGAGCCAGGACCTAAAGAGAGTTCACAGTCTCTCTCACCATCAGGTCCCTCCTACTCTTGTTTGAACCTCCCACTTTTGTTTTCCAACTACTTCTTGAGGTGAAAGAAGAGGAAGAGAACTTTGATCCTCTTCACAGAAGTCTTCACTCCTTCCTCCAGGGTTGAATAGTTTGTTAACCTTTGCCTACTTGGGGTTGGAAGCAGGGCCTTACACTTACAGGATATGCCCAGAATCGTTCATTGTGCCTGTTGGATCCAGAATCCAGCCAAGTCGCACCAAATAACCATGGGCTTTCATGTCCTTTGGTGATTAATCCTGCTTTCCTTCGGGCTTGGTTCAAGTTCTGCCTCCTTCAGTGTCTTCTCAAACTGGTCAGTTTACTCTGAGGGCTTCCTTCTTTGAACTCCAGTGGCATTTATAGCCTGTTTCCCACAACTTGGAATGTGTTTTTTTGGCTGGTTTTTGTAGTGTTTTCTTATTGTCTTCTGTGAGTCGTGTCTCTGAACGTTATGTACACTCATGTCATGTAAAGGTAGGGACCATGTTTGCTTTCTAGCACTGTGTTGAGCCTTTCAGTCAGCATGGTACTTCCTTCCTTGTTTTCGCTCAGCCCTTCCTTGGAATAGTGTCCTTAGAAGCCAGCTGGGCCTGTGCCCTAACCTCCACCTTGTGAGAATGCCTTGACTCAGACATTGTGTCCTGGGCCTCAGCTGCCACCCCAGTGTCACCTTGTGCCAGAGGTCTGAATACAAGCAAGAGCAGAGGGAGCCAGCAGTTGAGCCCTGCTTCCGGTTGCCAGGACAGATGGTTGTCAGGAGGGGAAGATGTGCCCACAATAATGGCTGAAAGGAGAGGTCCAAGAGGTGGGAGGAAACCAAGAGACAGTGGTTACAAGATAAGTTACCACTCTCTTTGTCACAGAAACCAAGGAAAGCAACAATTTTTAAAAGGGGGAGATGAATGGTACCAAATGGTTCAGGAGAGGTTTTCTGGACTAAGGACCAAGATGAGCCCATGGGATCTGGCAGTTAGCAGAGGTCTTCCCTGACAGCCCCATCTAAAACACGCCCAGCCCGTCACTCTACCACATCTCCTTCTTTACTGTGTACAGCACTGTCATTCATTAGCTAGAGTCGTCCTGTTCATTTCTAGCTTATATATCTAACGTATATTCTGAAAACAGCAACTTTTGTCTTGTTCACACTTGTATTCTCAGCTCCCAGAATAGTGCCTGACACTCAGTAAGATAGGAATAAATGCACAGACTTATCCAAAGTTTGATTAATGATTTTAAAGATTGTATAATTTTAAAATTAACAAACTAATCATAGGAGGTTACTTCTTAGAACATATAAGAAAGAAAGCATGTAAGAAAATTAAAACTACATATGTAGCCATTTGTCTTTATTTAGAGATGAATGCTACTGCAGTGTCACAAATTAAAGCTTCGAGACTGTCTACGAATTGTACACAGAAAGAAATTTAGAACCTTAAATGCTTTAATTATTTAATAAGAAGGAGTCAAAAGATATGAATTAAACATTTGGATCAAATTAAAAAAAAGCATAACAGAATATGCTAGGAAAGCCAGAAGGAAAGAAAGAAATATTGAAGCAGATATTGCTGAATTTGAAAATAGGAGATTTGGTAGATAAATTCATAATGTCTTTCTTTGAAAAAAACAATAAAGTAGTCAAAGAGGAAAAAATATACAAAAAATTAGAAACAAACCAAGGGGTACAACAGAAAGCCTTACATGTAACTAACTAGGCTAATGAACTTGCTTCTCAATGAAATATATGATTTTCTAGTAAAAAAAATTATACATGTGAATGAAATCAAAATTTGTCTTAAGTGGAAGACTTGAAAGACCAACAGTCAATGAAGAAATGGGAAAACATGTGCAGTATTATCTCCAGATGCTTTTATGAATGAGTTCTTTCAAACTTGCAACTCTCATGCCATTTTTTAATTGTGGTAAGAAAATCACATAATATAAAATTTGCCTTCTTAACCATTTTTAAGTGTACAATTCAGTAGTGTTAAGTGTACTCACATTGTGGAGAAACATATCTCCAGAACTTTTTCATCTTCCAAAACTGAAACTCTGCACCCATTAAACCACAACTCCCCTTTCCCCGCTTCCCCCAGCCCCTGGCAACCACCCTTCTATTTTCTGTCTCAATGAATTTGACTTCTTTAGATACCTCATGTAAGTGGAATCGTTTTGTCTTTTTGTGACTGGCTTATTTACTTCACTTAGCATAATGTACTCAAGTCTCATCTATGCTGTAGCATGTGTCAAAACTTCCTTCCTTTTAAAGGCTGAATAATATTCCGTTGTATGTATATACCACATTTTGTTTATCCATTAATCTGCCGATTGACACTTGGGTTGCCTCTCTTGGCTATTGTGAATAGTACTTGCGTGGACATGAGTATATAAATATCTCTTGCTGTTTTAAGTGTCGTAGAGCACAGGGAAATAAGAAAACCAACATAGTTCGTTTTTGTGAACACAACTCACTAAATTATATTCACATACATTTCACGCCAATCTCCAATACAGATACAAATTTCCTAAATAAAAGCGTTAACAAATTCGTCAACATAGTGGAGGAATAATGTGTCATGACTGCCAGCGTTTATTGCACATCCCCGTTTAGAACCTGTCCTTGACCCCCTAGCTAGTAAGTGGTGGGCTGGGACGGCAGCCCAGGTCTGCCCAACCCTATAGCCCATGATGCATCTGGCGAGTTTGTTGAGAAGGTAATGTTGGCCCAATAAAAGAAATCCACTAATATAATGTATCACAGAAGTAGGTCAAAAGGGGAAAAAAAAAAGACCCAGGGCGCTCTCAGAGAATAAGAAAAGCATTTGAAGATGAGAATCAACATTTATTCTTTATTTTTAAAGCTCCTTTAATAGATTAGGAAAGAAAGAAGCTTCATTGTCATGATAAAATATGTCTTCTGAAACGATACCCAGCATCATTCTTAATAAAGAAATACTATTGGCAGAAACAAGACAGACCCATTTTAAATACTATTATGTAACAGTGTCCTGAAAGGATAACCTAGCCAATGTACTGAAGCAGGATAAAGAGTTTACTATCGGAAAGGAGACAGAGATTTTGGCTGAAAACTGAAGTATCTACCTAAAAACCTGAAGATAATCCTGAAAAAACGGTTAGACCTAATAAGAGAGAGCAGCACATTTGCCCACTAAAAGATAAATGTAAAACGCCTAAAACAGCTTTCCAATACAGGCAATAGCCAGTTGTGATTGGGGATGCTGGTGGAGAATCTCAGTTACCCTAGCAACCAAAACTATAAAGCACCTTGAATAAAATTAACAGGAAGTGTGCAGGACTTACATAAAGAAAACTCAGCTTTACAGAGGGATATGAAGAAAATAAATGCAAAGACAGGTAGGCTGTATTCCATGAGGGGAAGACTTAATACTTCAAAGATGCTAACTCTCCTTTAATTAATCCGTAGATTTAAATGCACGTCTATAAAAATTTCATTTTTTTAACTTGAAAAGAGCATTCTAAAATTAATCTGGAATAAGTGAAATAACCATTTTTAAAAATGGAAAGAAGAATGTTAGAAATTTTATTACCAGATAACTTACTATAAACTTATAAGTTAAAATAATAGTGTACAGGTAGAGGACTAGATTAGGAATTAGCAAGCTTGATTGTTCAAGGAGGCAAGGCAGTGCTGTAGACAACACGGACTGTGTTCTGCGGCAGTTGTGCTTGGTACGATGCCGCTGGCTTTTTTTAAGGCAAAGTGAGGCGAAGAGAGGAGACTGAGGGGTAGGAAAGCTAACTACAGGGACTGGCTGAGGAATACCTAAGAATAGTCTTACTACCTTTAGTCTAGGTGATGTTTCCACTTCTCTCATCCAC